GTTTTGGGTGAAGGAGCTCTTGTGCAAGAGTTGATGAGTATCAGTTTCTTTGAAATACACTTTAATATCCAGTTTATTTGTTTCTGCTATGGAATCTCCCTTAAAGACTGTGGTATCGAGAAAGTCTATGCTTTTGTCACTCACGTTTGCGGTTAGTTTGATAGAAGGATTCCCAAAACTGTTCGATAGAATAAGTCCAAACCACAAAAATGTCATCCAAAAAGCGTCCGTAAAAAAGTGGGTTATTCCAAACTGTTTGACGAAAGATGTCAAACTCTTTCTGAATTACAGGAATAAAAACAAATGATAGAAGTTTCCTGAAATACAAACAAAATTCTAATAAGGTTTTGTTATTGAGACCATAACAGGTCACAGGTTAATTAACAAGTGGTTGCCTAGTAAGATACGCCCACTTTCCTGATACATTTTCAGTATATCAAAGGGCGGTCGCCAATCACACCAAAAATCTAACTTGTCCAAGATATTGTTGATTTAAACCAAATTCTGACATAAAATGCCACATCTATCGCGTTCACAATCTACATTACACATGATTTAAGTCTATCATTGTTTCTAAATCAAGGGCAATTACTGAAAAACCGAAATTCATCGAAATAATTCAACCTGGAACTTGACCAAGATCTCATCTAAAACTATAGTCTCCATTATGTTCACAAACAAATTTTGGTGCGTTCTTACTAAGTCTTGGACAATACACCTTATTCACGTCTCGTCTGTTCATAACACAAATTACGACGTCATTTGAATGATTGACGTAAAATGATGTAAAATAAGATTAATTTTGAGAAGGTAGCCATTTTACTGCAATGGCACGCTGTTACCTTTTTTGTTAGTGACACCAACCTCGTTCTGGATTCAATATGAAATCGTAAAACTTGTGACTTAATTATACCAGAAAAGGTATGTTTTGGGTGAAAGGAGCTCTTGTGCAAGAGTTGATGAGTATCAGTTTCTTTGAAATACACTTTAATATCCAGTTTATTTGTTTCTGCTATGGAATCTCCCTTAAAGACTGTGGTATCGAGAAAGTCTATGCTTTTGTCACTCACGTTTGCGGTTAGTTTGATAGAAGGATTCCCAAAACTGTTCGATAGAATAAGTCCAAACCACAAAAATGTCATCCAAAAAGCGTCCGTAAAAAAGTGGGTCAAGTGGACAGAGGGGCAACACCTCACGTTCCCACTCTGCCATGAAAAGGTTTGCGTACGAAGGGGCGAATCGTTTGCCCATTGCTGTCCCTGAAGTTTGTAAATATGTTTTACCATTAAATGTGAAATCGTTTCGACTAAGACAAATCTCTAAAAGCTGTAGAATTGCATCGTCGGGTCTGTTTGGATCTGGGTTTCTATTAAAAGCTTTACGCACTGCCGTTAAACCAGTAATGTTATCTGGTTATCCTTGGTGATATAATCATCAACTTCCTCCTGTAAGTTTTGAGAATTCAAGTGCCTCAAAAAGCAAATCATCTGACAACTCAATATGACACATTCTGTCCTACATATTGTTCTGGGTATAAATAAATGTGTTCTGGAATTCCACAAGGCAGATCTTTGTTTCTATTTTTTCTTCCTCTGTGGTTATTTCAAACTGTTTGACGAAAGATGTCAAACTCTTTCTGAATTACAGGAATAAAAACAAATGATAGAAGTTTCCTGAAATACAAACAAAATTCTAATAAGGTTTTGTTATTGAGACCATAACAGGTCACAGGTTAATTAACAAGTGGTTGCCTAGTAAGATACGCCCACTTTCCTGATACATTTTCAGTATATCAAAGNGGCGGTCGCCAATCACACCAAAAATCTAACTTGTCCAAGATATTGTGATTAAACCAAATTCTGACAT